CCTTGTCACCGTCTCAGGGTGTCACCCACCCCCACTCACTTGGTGAGACTAACATTGACACTCCACAGATCACTTCCAGTCGTGTCTGTATGGCCTCTTCACCTTAATCCTCACGTTCTAGGCCAGCTCCCTCCAACCTTTGCAGAGCTTTGTTCTTCCAGGAATCCATACCTGAGCTTCAGAAAGCAGCAGGTAGCTTTCCCGCTTTTTTTTTTTTTTTTCTCACAGCACTGCACCTCTTACGGGGCTGTCTTGGAGCTCTGCGAGTGTGGGTTGCTAATCTTGGATAGCCTCAGACCCAGTATGGCCCATATACAGCCAGCACACAGAATGGATTGGCACTCGCTGAAGGAAGTGAGTACCTGAGTGGAAACTCTTGGTGTACTTTCCTAGGGTTTCTTGGACCCTTTCTTCATGAAGGTTTTCCCTGGCCTATTCCAATTTCCTGTCCTAGGACTCACTTCCTGTCCTCTACTCTTCAGTTCCCAGACCAGTGTAACTAACAAGCGTGCCGTGCCATCTCAGGTGAGTTCCTTTATGTGGACTCTTACTGTGTGTCCTGAGGGACCTCAGCCACCATCTCAGTAGCAGCTGATTCCCAAGCAGCTCTGATGACTCTGGGGACACCTAACAGCCTTAGCCTTCCTTGCTCAGTGCTTGCCCTACCCACCTGCTCTGAGGGTTTGTGGAGCTCTTACCCTTCCATTCTAGTCTGGTCAATATAAAAATATTTCTAACAAAGTTCTCAAGCTGATGTGGCTAGCCTTCTAGAACTGGAAAGTAAACACCTATGCTTAAAGGCGTCCCTTATGGACAGAACACAGTGCCCTACCATCCCATGTCATAGCACTCTTAGGCTGGCCTGATTAGCTCTGCAAGAGGTGCTAAAAAGGCAAGGCTGCCAGCTAACCCAAATGGTCTCAGAGCCTCAAGTCTACCTCTCCCTTCCCTAGTCCCAGGAACCCACATGGTGGAAGGAGAGAATGACCCCACAAGTCATTCACCCCTCTGAATACACCCCTATACACCAGGAAATAAATGTCATTAAAACAACAACAGAGAAGTCTCCAAGAACCCTGCCTGGCCTTGCAGTCTGTAGCTGCCAACTTGGACAGTGACCTGAGGCAGATTTTTCCTCATCTCTTTGGGTCTCCATAATAGGAAACCAGTCACCACAGTTAGACCTCAGGTGAGTCTATGTAGTGAAGGACAGTTAGTTTTATCATGTGTACCAGCCAGTCTGTCATCTAAGCCATACACAATCTGTCACACACTCTCGCCTTTGGATAATCAGAACTCCAGCATACTGGCCACATGAAGAAGCTCTGCAGAGGTGCAGGAGGGAGCATTTGCTCAGTGTTCATTGTGCTGCTGTGGCTGTTGTCACCCCTAGTGGCACTGAGGCTAAAGAAACAGCACTGCCAGACATCACCTGACATCGCATTTGCAGTTTAGACTGACTCCATAGCATGCTTTGACATTTTCAGAAAACAGTATATGCTCCTGGAGATTGTAGTGTAGAAGTTTGGGGCAGTTTATAGGGGTGAGGCCAGGAGCAACAGGGATCGATTTTTGCCAAGACTGAGTTAGATTAAAGATTTGCCCGGCTTTACCACACTGACCTGTCATCCCAGTTACAGCAAGGCTGAAGCAGGAAGATTGTGGTTCAAGAACTGCCAGGCCACTGAGTGAGTTCAAGCCTTCCTTGGTGACTTACCGAGACCTGTGTCAAAAGTAAAAAGGGCTGAGAGCTAGGCATGGTGGCACATACCTGCAACTGTAGCACTCAAGAGTAGAAGCAGGACCAAGAGTTCAAGGTCAGCGTTATCCTCGTCTGTAGTAAGTTTGAGACCCTGCCTGGGCTAGGAGGCTAAGGCTCTAGCACAGTGGAAAGTGCTTGCCTTGCATGTCCACAGCCCTAGGGTTAAGCATTCAAGGAAAGGGGGAATGCAGGATGAGTGAGATGACTCACGGGTAAAGGTGCTTGCCACCATGTGACCTGAGTTTGGTCTCAGACCCACTCAGGAGAGAACCAACTTCCATAAGTTGTCCTATGTCCTACACACACACACACACACACACACACACAGTTAAAATACATGTTGATGTGTGTAGACTTTAATCAAGCATGCTAAGTGCACACTTTCAGTCCCAAGCACTGAGAGGCAGAAACAGATCTCTTGAGTTCCAGGCCACCCAGGACTACATTGTGAAACCCTATCTCAAAAACAAAAAGTGCAGAAGGCAGGAAGAATGACTGAAGGAATTTAAAGAGGGAAGGACATAAGGTTTGTGGGGGAAAAAAAGACCATGTTGGCTACAAGAGGGTGGATCTGAGGGCTAGACTAGACTGGTTAAGCAGAATTACAGGTGACGTGCTGCTAGAGAGTGGAAGCATTTGATTAGCAGTGGTCCTCAACCTTCCTAACCCTTTAGTACAGTTCCTCATAGTGTGGCGACCCCCAACCATACAATTATTTTCATTGCTACTTCATAACTGTCATTTTGCTACTGAACAGTGTCTCGTTTCCTAAGACCATCAGAAATATGTGTTTTCCATTGGTCAAGACCCCCAGGTTGAGAACCACTGGATGATAGCATAAGGAAACCAAATCTGCAGGTTTCATACCTGGTTAGATCTGGCTGGTGGGTGAGGTGTCAGCCTTGGGAGTTCTGAGTAGACTATACATGGTGCTATTTGCTGATTTGAGGATGCACGATGAGAAAGAGGAAACTTGGGGAGAATATTCAGTATTTGGGGATATTTTATCTGTTTATCTGGAGAGAACTGTTTGAACATTTGAGTTTGTGGAGAAACTGGAGAGAAGTCCCGGTTGGGGAGGTGGCCTTCAGGAGCAGCCAGAGCTCATGACTTGGGTGAAGTGCCCTGTATGGCATGGGGAGAGGTCAAGACTAATGGAGGGAGGTATGAAGGCACCTCCCAGCACAGGTAAATGAGCACTTGCTCACTGGTGGCCTGGGGGGTCTAGGCTAGGACATTTACTTGGACCAGGGGAGGCAGATTGAGTGATTTGTCCAGCAATGAGGAGGAGCCAGATGAAGTCAATAGAAAACTAATTTTCTTTTCTGCTAGAAGAAATGAGGTGTGTGGCCGCTGGGTAATTGCAGATAACGAGGGGACTTATTCTTAATATGCACAGCAGCCATGGTCTCCAGAGTACTGGAGACAGGAAGGATTTGAGGTGCCCTGACAGGGCGAGGTTTATTTGGGAAGACTGTCTTTTTATCCCAGGTTCCCCCAACTCTCAACAATGCCATCACGGCATCTGGCCCCACCATACCTCCCAGGCCTCTTCCTGTTCTCTTCCCCTGTCAACGGCCTAGCTCCTCCTGTCATAGCTCTCCCTCCACCCTCTACCCCCACAGGACTGGCGTACTCACTAAGGGAGACAAATGACAGGGCCTCAGCTGAGCGGGGCGCGTGTCCGGCCCATAAACCACGGGGATGGGTCATGTCTGGAGTTGCCATGGCCGCCACTACCCACCCATCTGTCTTCTCCCCATTCTGCCTCAGAGCAGATCAGCCCTCTCGGCTTTCTGAGTCCCTGGAGAAACAAGGTGTCACCTCCTCACATCTCTGTCCACTGCAGGTGCATACACATTGAACTCTTCTAAGACAGGATCTCATCTGATTGGCCTGCCCTAGGCCCTTGGCTAGTGAGATTTTCTTAGCTCAGGGGGTACAGGGGTCCCCTTTCCTAGACCAGTCTTAGTGAGGGTAAACATAGAGGCTCCATGGAAAAGAATCAGTTCTCCTGACCTCACCACAACCCCTCCCTTGATTACGCCGTCAGTGTATGGTACTTATGCATCACAGCATCCATCTAACGAGGGTAAGGTAGTGGCTGAGGCCAGGCTATGGCCCGTGGACAACGAAGGGAGGTGGGAGAGGAATAAAAGGAGACAGTTGGGGACTGCTCTGGGAAGCTGAACAACAGCAAAACAGGTAGATAGTTTCTGTACCAGACTTCCTCTAGAGCAGTGCTTCTCAATCTTCCTAATGCTGCGACCCTTTAATACAGTTCCTCATGTGTGGAGAGCCCCCCGGCCATAAAATTATTTCGTTGCTACTTCATACCTGTAATTTTGCTCCTGTTCTGAATCATAATGTAAATATCTGATGTCGGGTGTCTGATAAATGACCCTAAAGGGGTCACAACCCACAGGTTGAGAACCCCTGCTCTGGTAAGCCAAGTTCCAGGTTACTGCCCTTCCTGTATCATAAGATACAGTGGAGCAAGTTCTGTCCTGGCCAAGTCCCCAGAGTCCCTGCAGCCTCCAGTCTACCACAGTAGCTTGCTTACTTACAGCATGGAGTAAGCTCTCACGACAAGATCTCAAAGGTGGCCAGCAGCCAGCCTACTTGGACAGAGGCAGGATGTAGGTTGACTAGTGGGCGTGTCTGGTAGGTCTGATAGCACATAAGCCAGGGCCTTACCCAGCCTGTCGGGAGCTACATAGAGAGATATCCAGAACAGGTGTTTCCCAGGATTCTGGCACAGTCGTGCCAAGTCTTGTGCCTTGTCACCAGTTGAGGATGGCCTGGACCACAGTTCCCCACACACAAGTGCCGACAAAGTCACCCTGGCCGTGGGTGTGATGAATGGCCACACAGTAATGAAATGGAGACATCAAGGCGGGGTGGCGGGAAGACGGAGTGTGGCGGACAGGCCGTCCCCACGCGGCAGCAACAAGAAGGATCGCCCAGCGGCCAGGGGCCGTCAAGGGAGAAATTACACATTTACTCTGCCTTTTTCTTACTGCGACGGCGCCCATACATCACCACTGGGGCTGGGATGGGACACAGCGGCCAATTTCCAGCATGAATTATGGGACTGAGAAGCACTGAGTCCAGGCTTCCTGCAGGCCCAGTGTCACCCAGCCCAACCCAAGGCTGGAGATATTGCCACCAGAGCCACCTCCTCAGGCCTGTGGCTCCTGAATCTGGCCCCTGTCTAAATGTCTTCTCTTCTCTCTAGATGACTGCAAGAACATTGCCAACATCATGAAGACATTGGCATACCGAGGTTTCATCTTCAAGCAGACATCAAAGCCCTTCTGATTGGCAGAGGACGGGATGGGGCATGACAGGGTAGCTGCTTGGCCCAAACCAGAATCCTCTCCCTCACCAGAGGGGAAAGGGAGAGTGGCACAGCTCTGCGCCCAGAGTGTCCCCCAGCTGCCCTGTGGGCTTGTGCCCTGGGTACGGGCTTGGCCACTTGGCCCCTCTGGAGCAGACACTTTGTGCCCCACCCCACTCCCACTCCTCAGTCTCAGCCCAGTATTAGCCCCTGCCATGACGGGCCTGGGCTAGGGGGAACCCAGGTACTCACTGCCTTCTCCCTTGTACACAGGCTTCTGCTGGGACCACCAAGTCCCCCCTGTGCCCCCTCCCATCCATAGTGCATGGTGTGTGGTGCCCCCAGGGCTCCAGGACAGAACAGGCCCCACCTTGTGTCCACCCCCATCCCTGCTGTGAACGTGCCACTGAATAAAGTCGGGGAAACAAGGTCCTTGTGTGTAAGGCTGTTGCTATGCTAATGCCCCCGGCTTCTTCTCCATACAAAGCCATCAGCATGTCAGCAGCTGGCACTCTAGTACCTTCAGTGCCTCTGCTAGAGATGCACAGACCCGGAGCACAAGGACCTGCCAAAGCTGCTGCTATCTGAGTCCCCTGCTGTGTGCAAGGCCATCTTAAACACAAAACCACAGGTGTTGGAGGTACAGAGTCTAGGCAACAAAGCGGGGGGGGGGGGGGGGGGGGGGGGGGGGGGTGAAGGGCGGGCCTGAATGTAGGTACTGCAAGCAAGCCTTCAGGGACTCACTGTAGTGATCGATCTCACAGCCTGTCATCCCAGCCAAGGATGTGAGGAAGTAAGGAAACAGAATCAGCCCAATCACTCCAGTCCAATGGAACAGCTCTATTTACACCATACCACCAACCCTAATGGCCCCTCATGGTTTCTTGGCTTTCTTCACAGAAGATGAGCTGGAGGCAGATTCCCGTCGTTTCCGCTGAAGAGACAGAAAGTGTTGAGGTTAGTGGCCTCTGAGGTGTGACTCGGGGCTTAGTGCCTGTCATTCTCAGAGAAGAGGCCCAATAGTCAACCCACTCCTGTCCTCACCCTCTCCCCTCACAGTGAGAACCATTCCCTTGAAGGGTCTGGAGGGAGTGGGGACTGTACATACATGCGTTCTCTCCCAGAGCCAGGGCATGCTCCCCAAAGCCTGCCCAGGCTCTTACCGAATTGGGAGTGAGGGGTGCCCCCACTACATCAATGATGGTGTCCTTGGTGGGGTCAAGGCCAAGTCCAGATTCAGACACGGCCGGCTCCGCAGAGGCCGGGGCTGGCCCCGCCGCTGGTGTGGCAGGGCCCCCCAGCACTCCTGCCCTAGCCAGGGCCTCGTGCCGGTGCCGCAGCATCTGCAGCTCATATTCACAGTTGGCACAGGCCTGCTTGAGCTCGTAGAGCAGCACCAGGTCACTCCGTAACTCGTTAAACATGTGCACCAGCTCCTCTGTGGGGGTGGGGCTCAGTTCTGCAGGCAAGACAGAGCCAGACCAGGGTGGAAGGCCTGCAGGATGAACTACCCTCCCTTGCACAGCCCTGGGAGAAGGGGCTATCGAGCCCAGGAGGCTCGGCGTCACTCACCCACACCCAGCTCCAGCAGCATCTGTTCCAGAGCCTTGATCTTCTTCTGACCCACAGAGCTGGGCAGCTTCATCTGCAATGACAGTCAGCTAAGTCCTACACCCCTTGGACAATGCTTACAGTGACGAAGCTCCCAGGGAACCTCTGCCAGGAGCTATGGCTAAAATGGAACAAGCTGAGAAGTGGAGACTAGGAAAGGCAACCTCAACCTGGCTGTGTCGTGAGATCCTGGCTAGGCCACCTCTTCCCACAGCCCCCTGGCCCACCGCACTCGCCTCAGCAGCTGTAGCAGTGAAGCCGTCTGCAGCCCGGGCTTAACCACTGACGGCGGGAACTCACCCTCTGGCTCCTCAGGGTGACACCTGCCGACTTAAAATCTGGAAACTTGATGCCCGCGGTCTCTGGAACAGCCTGTGGGAAGAGTTAGGGAGCCTAAGGTGTCACGGGAGAGTAGCCAGGGACCCACTGAGGCTGGGCCCCTTCCACCCTGAGCCTGTTGGGTCAGCCCCCACACCGGCTTCTCAGCCTCCCTCTTCTGGGGTAGCTTTTTCTTGGGGGCCTTGCGCTCTGTGCGCCGCTGCTCTGCGGTGGTGTCTGCTGCTGTGATCAGCTTCTGCAGGTCTTGGCTGCGTTTTTCCCGCTCTTTTTTCCGGGCCTCGATCTTACGAAGCTCCTGTAGCAAGTACTCCTCCTCTGCCACCTGCAAAAGCAAGAAATGCTTTGGCATGTGTGAGGGCTGTGTGGAGGCAGGGTGGCCAGGGAGCTCAAAGATACCAGGGTATCTATGAGGGAACCAGAGGTAAGGAAACTGCAGGGAGGGCAAGAATGGGCACCATGGGAATGGGCTGAGGGGAAGGGGCTTGGGGGGAGAGAGTTGAGGCCATGGAGGGTGGGGAGGCAAAGGGTTTCAGGTATGGAGAAGAGGTCGTGACCTGCTCTGGGGTCCGGTTGTAAAGCCGCTCCAACTGTTCCTTCCGCCGTCTCTCATGCCCAGCATCAAATACTGGTATTTTGAGATCTGTGCCTGGCACAGCCCTCACATTGGCAAGCTTGGCACAAATGTGGTAGTACCTCTCTTTCAAATCCTCTACAGAACGCTTCTGAGAATCAAAGACACATGGGGATGAACACTGAGAAGCATCCGGAAGGGACGACAGGAAGGTTGGGCACTCCAACTCACCTTGAACTGCTGGTGGTCATACCGATCATGAATAACTACAAAGCGCAGATCAAATCGGCGGCTGAGGTCAAAGAGGTGGTCAGTCTCTGCCTTAGTCCACGCATCATCATGAAGGTAGAGTTGGTACTCCTGCTCTGAGTACACGGGCACCTGCACCGTCTACTGGCACAAAGACATGGGGGGGGCGCATTCCTTTGTCATATGGCCAAGCAGGCTGGCCATGTGGCCACACCCCTTCTTGTTTGTTACCAACCCCTGTGTAGGGGCAGCCTGTAGAAGGGAAGGCCTCGTCTGACTGGCCAGAGGCCCCTCCCTGTAAGCCTCTAAGGCAGTGGCCTGCCTTGGCTCACTTCAGGACAACTTACCATCTTTGGGACCGGGCCACACGCTCCTACCTGACCTGTAAGCACTTCTATGGCACCCAGGGGTCAATTGTGGAGTCAAGAACCCATCAGACAGAGGAAGGCCCGGTGCCCCCAGGCCATGCGCCACTTGTCTAAAGCACTACTGCCACCCAGTGGTCACAGTGGGATTTGCCGATCTCAGCACTTCAAAGTTGGGCATCTCCAGGGAATCCTCCTGCCAATGCCCCTTCCTCTCCTGGCCCACATTCCTCCCCCTACCCCAGGTCTCCCTCAGAGTTATCAGCATCACAATAAGCTGCGTGTGTAGGTCAGAGACAAGGAAGGAGTCAGTGTTGGGCTGTAACAGGAAGCTTCTTAAGAATTCAAAAATAGGGCTGGAGAGATGGCTCAGTGGTTAAGAGCACTTACTGCTCTTCCAGAGGTCCTGAGTTCAACTCCCAGCAACCACATGGTGCTCACAACCATCTCTGGCGCTTATAATAAATAGCTAAATCTTTAAAAAAAAAAAAAAAAAAAATACAGCAGGCTCTTTCCTGCTGCTCTTGGACACTTCCTACCAGAGGTCACAACACATGTCCAACCTTCACATACTCAGTACTGCACTCATCTCTCTTCTTCAAACATCTCCGATCCAGACCTCAACCACTGTCACCAACACCCAGCACCAGAACCCTGGGTGTGTTGTTTGGTGATGGTCTGTGTTTCTGTTTTGTTGTTGATGACACAGGCTTGGGAAGTGGCCTTGGCTGGCCACTACTCTCTTTGGAGGCCAGACTGGCTCTAACTCACAGCAGTCCTCCTGTCTCAGTCTCCCCGGTACTGGATTACAGGCATGCACCATCTCACCTGGCATTGGAAAGTATCTTTTAATTCCTACTTCTTAATCTGTGGCTTCATCTCCATGGCCACACTTGGTCCGCTCACTTAGATTAGCACAGCACCATCACTGGCCTGCATTAGAGAAACAAAACCACCCTCCCCGATCTGGGCTTCCCTCAGTCCTTGTCCAGTCAATTCTCCGTCTGCAAACAAGATGTGACCTGCACCATGCTGGTTACAGGGCTGAGCAGCGGGGCTTGTCACAGCTGGTCTCCAGTGAGAGTGGAAACAGGGAAGCACTTTTATATGTCAACCATGTGCCCATAAACGTAATATAAATATGAACTTGTGTTGCCTTAGAATCCTAGTATCTCTCAGTCTCTGCTAGGCTACAAATAGAACATTTTGCCAGTTCCTGGGAAGAGTACTGCTCTCGATCACATGTCATGTCTCCATTAACCTCTAAGATAAAGTGCCTTCTAGATAATTCACAAATTCAAGAGCAAGGCTTAGCCAGTTCATTTCTCACTGTTAGGGCTCAGCACACCACAGAACCAGTGAAGAGCCAATGCACATTAAAGAATAGGTGCCCTGACCTGCAGCCACTAGCCCTTGAGGACCCAAATCTCCAGCCTGAAAGTCTGGAACACATCAGGCTCTTTCCCTTTATTCTGAATTCTGTATTCCTTCTACCAACAGAACGTTCTCATCCTTTTGACCTCTCAGGCATCATCTCTGAAGGATTTATCTGGTTTCCCAGGCTTGGCTATATATCCCACTTAGTAATTTAATTTGTGTGTGTATGTGTGACAGGGTCTCACTGTGTAGACCAGGCTGGCCTCAAACTCAGAGATCTGCCTGCTCTGCCTCTGGAGTGCTGGGATTAAAGGCATGTGCTACTACAAGGAGATCATTTCATTTGGTTTTATAATGCCCTGAACTTCTGGCCAATCTCAAATCAGTTCCAAAAGACAAATCAACTCATTCAACAAATACTTATCATGAGCCTGCTAAGCCTGTGCTGGGGACACAGTGCTCACCGGGGTCACCTCTCAAAACCAGCAATCCAACTGAGGGGGGGGGGGGACACAGAAAAACAATTTTGATACTCTGTGGTAAGTTTGATGATAAAAATAAACAAGTGACACTGGGTACAGCTGGGCACAGAGCTGGTCAGAGCAAAGGTAAATCAAGCCTAGTCCTTTGCTTTGTGTTTGTTTTGTTTTCGAGACAGGGTTTCTCTATGTACCTAGCTGTCCTGGAACTCACTCTGTAGACCAGGCTGGCCTCGAACTCACAGAGATCCATCTGCCTCTGCCTCCTGAGTGCTGGGATTAAAAGTGTGCAACACCACTGCCTGGCCAGGCATAGTCTTTTTATTTATTGATTTTGCTATTGTTTTTAATGTGTCTGTGGAGGGGGGTGGGGTGCCGGTGGAAACCAGAACAAGGCATTAGATGTTCAGAAGAAGCTGCAGTTTGAAGTGGCCCATGA